CGTAGTCAGTTTGCCTTATTTGGTTTGGAAAATTGGCTCATTGAAAGTTTTACATGTTAATCGTAAGAACTGTACAATAGCTGCCTCCAGTGAATTAATGTAATTAAAATATAAGCACATATTTTCAGCTGATCATTTCCTGGTTTTGCTTCCAAGTATTACTGCTCTGTATCTGTGTGTTTATGAATAGCTCGAGAATCAAAATGAAGTGGAGCAAATTACCTTCATAGCGTACATACCCCTTTGCAGCACCACAAACGCAAGCAATTTAGGGTTTTGGAGGAGGAAGAGTTACCACAAATGGCAGTTTTACGTTTCAGTTGAGGGGAAAATTGCGGAGGCTACACTTAAGTTGCGTATTATGTTTCAGCCCCCTTTGCCACTGCATGGGGTCCTTGCGTTGGAGTATCTCTTCATGCAGGTGCCATTTCTGACGTGCTCCATCCCACGCGTGCAAAGATGTTAATCCAGGTATGCATGGGAGCCATAAACTGAGCCATCGTCGTCTTCAGAAACGTTCAAGTGCACAAATGTTTAGCTTGGAAGAAATGGATGATGCATGTGTTCTATGTATAATAACATAATAACACTTTGCCATGTTGATCTCTCGGTTAGACAAAGTGGATTGGTGTCACAGCGGAATGGGGAGCCACATGATCCACAGGCCCATGTCAGACCCAGGAGTGTTTTCGCACCAAGCGATGGAGCGTGACAGTACGGGAATCGTGACGCCTTCCGGTACATTCCATCAGCCTGTTCCTGCAGGATACATGGACTTTCCAAAAGTCGGGGTAATGATCTTGTCGTTTCTGATGTGCGCTGTGCCACTCAATTTTCGTGTTTGTGTGCGAGGCAGATGAACAACTTAAGGTATCGTTCACCTGCGCTGTTGAGCGTGTGCAAGTTAAAATACTTAGCCACCCTTCACAGTGTGGCAGGAAGCCTAGATCTAATAAAAAATGGTCTAATGCTCCATGAGCTAAGAGGAGAATAAAAACGCCTTTCTACGCATTTAGGCTTTAAGAAGTTTTCTTTTACTGCCTCTAAGATTTCTGTAACATGCATCCCTATCAGGAATTCTGTGTGCGCCATAGTGCTAGCATTTATGAATACGTACTGATTGTTTGCTTTTTCCCTTCTTTAAGGGTATGCCTTTCTCCGTGTATGGGAATGCAATGATTCCTCCAGTAGCCCCCATCACAGATGGTACTGGAGGCCCTATATTTAACGGGCCTCACGCTGCTGACCCATCGTGGAACTCGCTGATAAAGATGGTTTCAAATTCCACAGAAAATAACGGGCCTCAGACGGTAGTATTTTGATCTTCTTATTTGTGGTTTTGTTTTAACTTAAAAAATAACGTGGTAAAGACAAAAACATTCTAGCTCTGATAAAGTATGAGAAATGCTTTGTATAGCGTTTCTTGATTTTGCTCGTTTCTCCAACGAGCTGATACAACCCCCTACTTAATACAGCACTGAGCGCTGTGTATGCGTACTGTGACAACTTCTACACACTAGTTATCTCTCCAAAAATAGGCACGAGTTTTCCTGAGAGAAAATCTGCATCAAGCTAATACAGTGTAATTGGAGTGTGCGTATAGTAACTTCTGTGAACATATTTGTGCTTGAGAATTGGGAAGCTTACTTCCAGTTGAGTTTAGGAAAGCAGCTTATTTTCTAATTAGAATAGACCCATGGTCAGTTACTACAGATCAGTTTTTTTGATTTTGTGCTGCAGACAAGTCCTGATACGAAGGATGGTTAGTTTTACATGATACATATTTTCTTGCAATTACTTTGATGCGCATCAGTGCGGTTCCACATTTGGGATAATCCAATCAGTTTGCCTTTTTGAGAGAAGTCATTTATTGTTTGCTGTTATGTAAGCCTGCCTTTATGAAAAAGGAGAAACAGCATGAACCTAAAGGGTTATTGTTAGGCTCCAAAGGGTATAATGTCTTCACTAGGTTGGGAGTTTGCACGAAAAGGGAGGAAGTAGCCCTTCCTCTGCCCATTAAATAGAACTGAAGTACAGGGATTATGTTCCTCTAAACCTCTTGGTTCTGCTCAGACAGCCACTGAAATTATAAAGGATCGTCAGTAGTTCTTGTGGTGTTAAACCCCGTGTTTATATTTCATTATACACTGAGCTGTGCGATACTGTTACTAAATAAAGATATTTCTGAACTTAAATTTGTTTGGGAACATCCAAGGTGCGGGCAGCAGCTCCCAGCTCTAGCAGACTGTAGGGGTGCAGCAAGGTAAATGGCTTGTTGTTTGGGCCCAGTTTGTGTATTGCTCCAAAGTGGCACTTGACCTCAATTTGCTAACTTCTGGTGCAGTGAAAAAACATAGTCCTGCAAAGGTTTTACTTTATTACACTTGGGTTTTCCTAGAGCCAAGGGTGGTGGTATGTGTTGGGGGGGAAAAAAATTCAAAGTGTCAGAAACCAAGTTATTAATTCTCTGAACTTCCTCACCTGAAGAAGAAAAACAGCCTATTATGCTGAAGGCTGGAGGTCTTCAGGTGTTGCCCTTGCAAACTATCTCGCCTGTATGCCTAGCTGTGTTATTTCTCCTGGACAGTGGAGCTGGCATGTTTTGAGGCCATACCTATTTTCCTTGGTCTTAAAGGATGCATTTTTCCTGTAGAACACTACGAATACATATCACATCCGTGTTACTCTGCTGGAAGAACTTGATGGCATAATAGTGTTGATTTCTCTCTTTGGATGGGCTATTAAGGAAAGCAGTTGGGTTGGGAGAATTTTTTGTGCTATATGAAAAGGAAGATGTGGACAGACTGTGTAGCCAAAGTGGAAAAGCTACAGGCAGAAAGAGGAAAAATCCTGCTTCCTCTTCTCACCTGAACTGCAGGAGGAAAACCAAGTCCTGAAATAAACCGTGTGGTTTATTGACAATGGATCGTTTTGTTGTCTGGTGTTGGAATTCATTTCAGTGCAGTGGAAACTGTACACCTTTTGGTTGGTGTAATTGTGATTTCTGAAATATTTTGAGCAGCCCAGAAATATGGTGTTAAATAAAGCTCTCTCTTTCAGGTGTGGACTGGAACTTGGACGCCTCACATGAACAGTGTGCATATGAACCAACTTGGCTGAGTGGGATCAACTTGCTAGCCTTGAGATTCCTTTTTTGGCAGAGGAAAACACAAATGGCAGAAACAGTTTATGTGCTCCCAGATCATTCTACTGATGTGCTTGACTGAAGTGTGTAGGCTTTTTGCAGAAGAACTTACTAACTGACCTTTTTCTGTGAACATTGTGACCGCCCATTCCCCACCATCATACGTTTCAACTTAGTTAGCCTTTATTCTATTCTTCTTTTTTTTTTCTTTTCCTTTTTTTTTTTGACATAACTTTCTGTTGAAGCTGTTCTTTGGCTGGTTGGTTTTAGTACTGTAAACTGCTTCTGAGCAAACACAGAAATTTAGCAAAATTATGTAAACTTGATCCTGAAGTTTTAGAATGGCAAATAAATGTACAATTGTTTACATAACAAATGGCTAAGCAGAAAGTAAATTTCAATATGTCAGTATAGAGGCTCTACTTTATGTAGACTTAAATTAATGTGAGATATGTACCTTCATATTCAGAAATCTGGATGTTTCCTTCATACATTAAACTATTAATAAGCATAACTTTTCTACTTGTGTAATTTAAGTACAGTATAAAACGGGCATTATCAGATGTTTTTTCCTAGATGTGTTGGATTTTTTTTGAGAAGGCATACCTCGGTTGTGACAACATATTAGGGGTTTCCTTTTTTTTTTTGAAAGGCTTTTTGGCAAAAAATGCTCGAGGAAAAATAGCCTTTTGGCACCTTCAGAGCTGTCTCCACACCAACTCTTGTACTTGCCCAGTAAAACATGGTAAATGTATCATGCTGCAGCATCTATTAAGAATTATTCTTAGAGCTGGGTTGATGCAGCAAAAGGTTTGTTCTGTTCCGTGAGTGCTCCCAGAGCTGCTGTTCTTCTGGTTCCTTCCTTTCCTTGCAAAACGTGGTTCAAAATAAACTTGCTATGTGTTATTTGAAAAGGAAAGTGTTCTCTTGCAGTTTCAGTAGAGCTTCAATGATGAAAACCAGCTGCAGATGAAGGCTTATTTCAGAATAAGTGGCTTCGGTTTAGCAGTTGGTGTGGTGTTCTGAACTGGGTCGCTGTCTCGTGATGGCTTAACTTAAATACAAATTCAATTTCCTTATGGTCATCATCAGTAGCTGTTACCGTCTTCACGTGTGGTGGCGTGGAGTGAACACCCGTTCTGTAAAGCAAATCCCAGGGTCCTGTGAGGCAAACCTCAGTCAGCAGTGACACAAGAGTGTGAGTCAAGATCGCAGTACAGTGTGTTTATGTACGGTTTAAAGTACATCTGCAAATCAAATACGGTTTTCTGTTTTGCATTTGTTTTTGCACGGGACACCTGGTTTGTTGCTCGTTGTTCTGCATGGAGGGAAGGCTAAAAGAAAGCTTGCTTTTCTCCTATGGTGTCATGCAGACTTTAACCCTCCTGTTGAATGTTACTCTTCTGAGACATCTTTTCAATCATTTCGGCTGAAGAAATTTCCCGGGTTAGTTAGATATTCTGACTTAGAGGCTGGGATTTGAGGAACACTGTTTTGTAATTCGTTACAGTATAGGCCCGAAGAAGAGAAATGACTTTTCAGAGAAGCATCGTCTTTTTGCATATCAATGACCCTACACATGCCTTTAGAAAACACACTAACTATAAGTAAACTTACTTTTCCAGCTGTTTGATAACCTGAAATATACTGTGTAGCAAATTAGTTGGCTCAAAATGCGTGCCAAACTGGAAACATGTTCATGATTTAAGTTCCATTTCAGCCCTTCACTATGAGAGGGGAACAGTGCTGTTCAAGCCTGTCCTATAACCTTGCCCTTTCCTAGAATTTTGTGCTTAACGCTTCAGTGCTGGTTAGGATTGTTTGCCTCCTTACTCTGAAATAATCCTTCTGGGAAATGCGGCTTGCTATTTATTACAACGATGTAGTCCATGGGTCAAAAGAACAGATTTCCTTAGGATTGTGGCTTCTACCAGTATTCTGTTGCCTTGAAGATCACACTGGTGGAAAGGGGGCTAGACGCCACGTTTGTGGCATCTGGCTTGGTAAATAAAATCCTGGGGCGTGTGGAAGTCTATAACTAGGAACACTTTTTTTTAAGAGGCATCTTTTTATATTTCGAATGTAACACATATTATTTGACCAATAAACAACAACAACAAAAAGGAACATACTCTCTTGAGACCTGGCAGGTCTTTATTTAAAAATATATATATGTCTAGGTCTTTTGCTGTATAGATGCAGGCTATTTTTCTTTGCGGGTAGGGCAGAGGGAGCGAGCTGTGAGCGAGTTCACTTGCTGAAAGGGGAGAAGAGTCAAGCAGCTGGGGTGGTCGGGTGAGTGCCTTGCCCTGTCAGGGGGGCGATCATATCCCCCTTTTTCGTTCCTGCTTTTTCTTTTCCACCTAAGGGGCAAGTTAGACACCTCGGAAGGGGGAGGGAAATTCTCGGGCGGCTCCAGCAGCCGGTGCCACTTGTTGTGAAGTAGCCGGTGACTAATAAATCGCTTTTTCCCCCTGCCCTCACTCGTTATGGCCGGGCGGGCCGC